TAGGCCTCCTCCAGCTCGGTGGGCTTAACCCTTCCCGGCCCGGCCACTCACCGGGGACCGGATGCGCGGCCCTGTGTGCGTCCCGGGCCGGCCGGTGCCGAGCGGCGCGCGCTGCAGAGCATCCCCGGTGCGCGTGTCCGCGCGCCACGGTTGGCGACTGTCGCTGCATGGGTGCGGCGAAAAGGGGCTCCAGGCAGGCAATGCCACCCCCTGGAGGACACAGGCTTGGCCTGGGGTGCCCCTCCCCTCAGGGGTACAAATTGGCGCTTATTAGCTCTTAATTAGATGATGCTCCTTAATGAGGAGGCCCCAGCAGGTTCTGCGGACAAACCTCTCCACACTTTGGACCCCCAGATTGGCCAGGACAGGCAGGAGGGGAGTTTGGAACAGCTAGAGCAGCAGCTGTGACCCAAATGGAGCCAGTGGGCCATTGGGACCGCCCTTCTGAACTGGCAGAGATGACTCTTGCCTGTGTGTCCTGCTCCCTTCCTCTGGCCACTTGAGCAAGTGGTCAGCGCTCCCCTCCCTCCGGGTCCTCCAGGCTCCTCTCCCCTACTCCTTGGGCCATGTCCTCTGTGGCTTCTTTCTCTTCCTCACATGCCAGGCTGTTTCCTGCCTGGGTCAGGGGTCTCCGCCCACAAAGTGCTGACCTGACCAGCTCCCTGTCCTCCACTCTGCCTTACTGCTTTCCAATCTGGAGAGGAAGCACAGACCTCTCCTGCGATCTGGACAATAAACACAAAAATCTTGATGCATAGGTTCTCTGGAAAACCCCAAAGGTCTGGTGACAGAGAGCCTCTAGGGGTGGAGTGGGAATGCCCACTGGAGGGGCACCAGAGCCCTCCTGGGGGCACCGCCCTGTGTCCCTGCTTACAGCACCGCCACACACTTGGATTCCTCCTGATCCCCACAGACACTGGAGTTTGGTTGGGGCTGGGCCTTCTGCCCTTGCCAGAAAAGCCTGTATTCTGGAGGCTTCACCCCAACACCAGCAGCTCCAAAGGGCAGAGGGTGTGTCACCTGCATGGGGAGTGAGTGAAGCAGCAAGAACCTGGCTTTGGAGACAGGATAATCTGGGGACACAGGACTTCCTGCAGCCAGGTGACCAAGTCTGGTGCTACGTTCTGTCTGTGAAGTGAAGATAGCAGGCTGGCAGCCAGGAGTACAGGAACATGTGAGTGGACAAGGGAGATAAGGACAAGGGGCAGCTGTGCACTTCCCCTCCCCCAGGACAGAGCTGTCCCTCTGGCTTCGTCTCCTAGGATGGCCTCACCCCTGGAATCTTTCACCTCTTTCTCTGCTGGCTTCTTTCCAACATCATTTACACACCCTTGGGACTCCCTGTCTTCAGAACATGCAGCTCCCCTTCTTTCTCGGCTGCCCCATTCCTCCTTCCCCTCTCTGAGCTGGCCTCCACGCCATCGCTCCCCACGGACAGCACCCACTAACGTCAGCCGAGACCTCCAGATGCTAACTCCCTCATCTTCTGCTTCTAGGTGGTTCTGGCTGGTCCTGCTGGACTGGAGGAAATCACCCGGTTTTCCCTTCCTCTTGGCCTGCCCCCCTCACCCCTACAGGCTCTGCCACCTTCACCCCTCACTGCCCACATTTGCAGAATGGCAGCAAGCAGTGGGCTTTCCTCCCTGCATGTTTCCCATCCCGTACCAGCACAGGACCCTGCAGCTGCCCCTTTTCTCCTTTCCTTGTCCCTCTAATTTTGCTCACGGTGACAGACACACCTAGTTGGATATCCAAGGCTTTTAGCAACGATAAATTTATCTCACCTCAGTTTACTCCCATTTTTGTGTATTTGCTGTTATATTTTTAAATAACATGCTTATCATATTATTACTTGATTATAGTTTAGAGAGTATCTATTGAAAGATGCAGATTGATTGATTGATTGAAGTACTAGGAATTGAACCCAGGGCTTTCATACTGAGTTTCGTCTCCAGCCCTTTTCTTACTTTTTACTTTGAGGCAGAGTGTGGCTTAGTGACTAAGTTGCCTAGGCTGGGCTCAAATTTGCCATCCTCCTGCCTCAGCCTCCAAGGGATTACAGACATGCACCGCTACACCTGACAGAGATAACTCTTTTAAACTGCACATTCACACACATACTTTCCCTCTTTTCTTGCTGTTGTATAATAAAGAATTTACCTGTGTTTGTCTTGGTACCTGACAGAGCTTCTACATCCAGGCAATGGGGAGGGGGTCCCTCCACCCCGGGATAGGAGTGTGTTTGTTGTGAAATTTATGCTAATGAGGTGACTCATTGTGGGCCTCTAGAAGTCTGGACATAAGCTGGTCCTACAGCAAAACCATTCACATGATTGGGGCTGGGGTGCTGCACTAGGCGATAGTAACTTGACCCATACAGGGAGCGGGGCTGGAGATTTAGTCAGATCACATGGCCAATGATTTAATCAATTATGCTCGTGTAATGAGGCCCCAATAAGACCTCAGGGCTGAGCTTCCTGGGTAAAAATGAACACTAAAGTGTGGGGAGGATGTGCATCTCGATTTCACAAGGACACCTTCAGGCTTCTGCTAGGTCTCAACCTAGAGGTCTTCTCGTGGGCCATGGCTGGTCCTGCTTTATATCCTTTAAAATAAAACTATAATGTTAATAGTGCTTCCTTTATTTCTGTGAGGTGATCTAGTGAATGTTTAAACCAGAACATGTCATGGGAACTTTCCAAATTTGTAGCTAAAGCCAGGTGTGGTGGTGCACTATAATCCCAGCACTTGAGATGCTGAGGCAGGAGGATTACCACAAATTTTAGGTCATCCTGGGCTATATATACAAAGACCCTGTCTTTAAAAAAAAATGTAGCCAATCGGTCATAAGTGGCCTGGGACCCTGGAACTTATGTGTGGCATCTAAAGTAAGGGCAGTCACAATGGGGACTCTGCCATTAACCTGTGGAGTCTGTGCTGACTCTGATGGTTACAGTTTATTGTAGTTTTGGTTAAATCCACGTTTATTCTTTTATTGTTTTCATAATTATACCTATGTGAATATCCTTCATGGCTTTCTCATCTTTTTTAAAAATTCTTTTTATTTGAATCATTCTTTGACTCAGTAAATCTTCCCACATCCCTCCTTGACTTTGTAAACACTTCTCAACCTGCCTTCCCATTTGTCAGCCTGGTCAGAAATCTGTCTCACATCGTACCCTCTGGTCATCCTTCCAGAGGCTCCTGCCTCTAGATCCCAGTTGGGCAGGTTATCCTGTCACCCTGGGACTCTCCTCTGGGACTTTCCTGGCTCACTCACACTCTCTCTTGCACTAATTCCAATTTCTTATATACATCTGTTCTGTCTTGATTAGCTCATTCTGATAGGAGGCCCTTAGTGCTCATCAAATATTCCAAGTGCTTGCTTATATTTCCACGTCTTCCATGTTGAAATTAGGGTTAAAGGATCAATTTGACCAATGGGCTATGAAGGGAAGTGGCATATGTTACTTCTCTCTTTTCCCCATCAGTTCTGGAGGTAAAACCAAAGGTCTCTGCACTGAGCAACATCCCAAGCCTTTTTAAAAATTTTTATTTTGAGACAGGGTCTTGCTAAAGTTGCTAATTTTTCCAGGCTGGTCTTATATTTGAAATCCTCCTGCCTCAGCCTCCTAGTATGCTTCCATTACAGGAATGTGTCACCACACCCAGCTGACGTATGCTACTTCGAAGCCAAAGCACATAGGAGGTAGGAGCTGGGGTGCCACTTCTATTTCACTGCTCTCCTGCTCTGGTGGTATTGGAGGAAGTGCATTCCACATGGAGCCTCGGTCTGCCTGAACCTGGGAACCTTCAGCCAGGGAAAGAGAAGAATTCTTAGATAATTAAAGCAGAGTACTGAATATAGCAGAATTGCTACAAACATATTAAAAGTGCTGCAGTATCATCAAGAAAAAGATGAGAATACCATAGATTAGTACCGCTATTTTCTGAGGAACATAGTGAGAGTGATATTGAAGAGAGCTACTCAGATAACCAGAGAGAGCCGCACAGTTCCAAGAGCTGTATGATGGGAGCTGCTTTAGCCACTGTTGGAAATGTGATTACAAAGCAGGAACTTAGGAACCCTCACCAGCCACAACCTGAAGTGCCGCCAGAAGCAGGAGATGTCTTCAGTCTCACCCTGAATCTTCACTCTGAAATTTCTTCAGATCTCAGACTTCTGAGATCTCATGAGTTCTTCCCGTTGACAGAATATACCCAGAAGCCAACGGGCCAGGGAGACTGGGAAATGTAGTTTGCAGCCTTCCAGCCTCCTGCAACACTGAGGAGACCACAGAAGAATGGAAACCAAACCAAGAGGCAACAGACTAAAACTGGCCCATTCAGTAGGTTTGTAGACCAGAGCCTTTGGCAGCCCATATTGGAAATGTAGACATTTTGGGACTCAGCCACTGAGATCAACACTACAGCTAGCACCGATTATCTTGACCTCCATTTGGTGGGGAAGACTGTCCAGCAGTCTTGAGGAAAGGTATATAGCAAGTATATATTTGGGAACCTCTCTATGATGTTATTTTTATGTGCCAACTGGATTGGGCCATGAGGTGCCTACACCTTTGGCCAAACATTACCCAGCATGTGTCTTTGAGAGTGTTTATGGATTAGACTGACATTTTAAT